GCTTAAACTTGGCAGACCTGAGAACCACCTACAAATCCGGAGTAACTATTAAGGAGTCTTTGTTTCTTAATCCCCATAATAGGCTCAAGAGTACGAAGGCATACGGCGTGCCACCTTCTGATGCTACGAACAGTTAAAATCTGCATAGTATTTAACAGTTTCCAGAGCACTTTCACCTGTGTTATTTCATTTGCTCATTTTGATAACTCAGAAGTAGGTATCTTTATGCCTGTCCTAAGATGAAAAAATTGCCTTGAGGTTAACTGACACGTCTAAATGACACGTCACATCAACATGAAATATTGCTGAGACTTAAATGTAGATCTTCAAGATCTTCTGGTTCAGTGATTCCTGGTAGAAGTATCCCCTAGGTAGGGGGATGCTAAGATGACTGGCCTGTGAGAATGAAGGTACCAAGAGAAACAGAGATGCCTCTGTGAATGTGGGGTCCCTCTTATTTCGCCCTCACCATTCATTCACGTGGATTATACCTACCACTCCTTTATTCATTTGAGATGAGACCTTCTCACAGAAGCCTCCCCCGATACTCAAGGTTGAGTTAGGTGCCCTTCCATTCAGACGTAAGTCCTAACATAATTATCGTGTTTATCATTCTGTATTATTACTGTTTATTGATTGCTGCATTTAAGCCCCTTGATGATAGATATTTCATCTTATTCACTGGTATGTTATCAACACATAACAGACTGTCTGGCTTTATTAGGCAGTCAACAAATATTTGTCAAAAGAAAGAAAAACACTGTTAATGCCCTACAGGAACTGAAACAGAAAGAAGATACTGGCTTTTGACCTCATGCCAAGAGAAAGGGCAGTGAATACACTGCGTCAGAGATAGAGAATCAGAAAATGCCTCTTACTTGACATTTATACATTAAGCATTGATGATCCTAATTGTCTTTTGAATGCCAAATTTCAGCTCTGAAAATAGCATTTCCGGCTATCACATTACCTTACTGATGGCCAGCAAGCACTTCAGTTCAGTTAGTTGAATCATGCAAATTAGTAGAATATTGTACATTGTAATTATTCACCAGAACTTCCTCCAGAATTTTAAACTCATATCTCAAACTCAGACCACGACTTTTCTTCTTTCCAACTCTCTTATATCTGTCTTTTGGTCCTCTTTTTTCCTTCCAATCTATCACCTGTCTTTCATCTTCAACCCTTTCTCTAGCTAAAACCACAAACAGCTTCTCAGCCCCTTCTGTCTTTACCCTTCTGCCTTAACTGCATCATGAAATTACACTCCCACTAACAGGCTTCTCAGTTCCCAGATCAAGTTGTCAAGAGTTGCTAGAGAAAAATCACAAAATTGTTTAGTGTTGCCCCAACAAATCCCTGGTCTCCAACCTCAGCCGGACTTTCTATACAGCCCAGCAGGCCTCCTATGAGCACGCCCTCTTCCTCATCAGCTGCTTCTCCCAGAGCTTCTGCAACAGTTGCTCCTCTCCTCAAGCCCCTTCTTTTTATGTCTCCCATCCTCACAGTAGAGACACTTTCCCCCTTTTTTTATCCACTGAGAACATGGAGATCATCTTAAATTCCCATCACCCTCCTTCTCCTGCAATTTATCTGCCTCTGCTTCCATTTCTTAGTCACATAGCTTTTCTCCCATCCCAAGTTATTCCTGCTGCCTGTACTTAGAATTTGTGAACTGCCACTTCCTCTGGTCCTTTATGCTATTTTCCCCCTTTTCCCTGATGTGTTCCTTTGCTTCATTGTCTTCAGCTAACAAACTAATCTTTCTTCTATCTAAATAAATAAATAAACCTATAATAGCAACAAAACGTCTTTAATATACTTGCCTTGCAAATTTCCTGTATCTGCCCATTTATTTCATAGTCAAGCTTAGAGGCATCTGTGTTTCCTAATACTACTGCTTGCACCCAAATCATTCACAAATCTATATTATTCCAATTGCTAATACTACTGGAATGCCTATTTATTAATTTACAGTGAGAAATATAACACAAACAGAATAGAATGTTTGCATCAGTGTCATCCACTTACTATGGAGATAAAGTGTAGCGTATGCTTTCAGTTTGTGGATTCTGGATTTAATAGAATTTAGCTGCTCATTAACTGTGATCTAAAGCAAGTTAATGAATGTCTCTGAATCTCAGTGTTTTAATCTATAAAATGGGATTAGTAGTAGTACCTCACACCTACCTCATAGGGTTTGTTTTGGAGATTAAATGAGATAATCTATGTAAAGTGTTTACTTGGAACAGAGTAGGTGCTAACTGTTATTCTGATTGTTATTGTTCCTCTGAAAATGCAAATTTAGCCAGGTAGTCAAATTATAATGGAAGATTGCCTGATGAGGCGGGCATGGTTCCCAGAGACAGCTGTTCCTTCCATTGTGTAATGACCTCAGACAGCACAAAGTGCTCAAGCTCAGGGAACTGTGCCTTTCATAGATTCTCTAGAATCCTTGTATGTGACGTCTCAGCAACGTTTGACACTCGGGCTCTTCCTCTTTGATGTTCAAATCCCCTCTGGCTCCTCTCCGGTTC